TAGTATAGAAAAGAGCCTTTTTCTCATGAGTAGAAAGCACTTCATGATGTTCAATAGAAGGGGTGCAGAGAGTCTAAGGGTCTAGCTCTACCAGTGTTCAAATAGCCCCGATCCTGCCCAGAAATGCTAACAGCAATCAATACCTCCAACCAGGCTTTCTGTCAAATTCTTTTTTGGGGGGGAGGGGTTGCCACTTATGGGTCTTGAACTCAGGGCCTAGGTGCTGTCCCTGAGCTTTTTACTCAAGGCTAGCACTTGAGCCACAGTTCTACTTCTGGCTTATATTTTGGACAGTGGGGAGGGGGGGAGTTAATTAGAGCTATGAGTCTCATGGACTTTCCTGCCCAGGGTGGCTTCAAACCACAATACAGTTTTGTGGAATTCTTTCTGGCTACAAGACTTCAAGTTCTCATAGCACCTTCAAGAGCCTCTCAGAGGAGCAAGAACCTGGAAACAATGTGGCCTCAAAGCATCTACTCACCTGCCCTCTTTTTCCTTGATGCTTATATAAATAAACAATATGGCTGGGTTTGTTGGTTGGTTGGTTGGTTGGTTGGTTGAAATCAAAGGCCAAGTCCTGCAACTTGCTGGGTACATTCTCTGGTGTAACCTAAAGATCCTTTTAATTTCAGATTTCTCAGCTATAACCCAAAGTGTTTGGATGACCTTGCCAGTCTCCCTTCCAGCTCTAAATGTCTGTGACTAATCGCTATTCCACGAGCTTTCCATTTCAGAACACTACAAATCTAACATTGAATAAGACACCATTACATTGGATGGGGTGACTGATTCATCAATGAATCAGTTGGCTGTCCTTAATACATTTTTTTGGGTCAGATTATAAACAAAATGTCTGCCCCCCTTTCTGTAGTTGAAGTGAAACCACTCACCAGTGACTTGAGAGCACAACCCTGAAGCTTTCCATATCTGAAATGTATACGGAGATTTCTAACCCCTCAATGGATGAGGGCAGGTTGGGCAGTGGTAAGAAGTCTTACAGCCTTTGTACTGAGACGATGTGGTTCTGAACATTGCAACACGATAAGTCTCACCCAGAAAACCCACCAAGCAGTCCAGAGCTAAGGCTCCAACCCTATCCTAAGGTTCTAACTGGAGTTGACTCTACTTCAAAGGAAGGAAAGCTTGTTTGGCCAAATACCCAGGAAGCATCAGTTTCAGGAATGTGACATGCTGTTAAACCACAGCCCTGTAAGCTTGTGGCTGCCTAGATTTTTCCAAGGATGAAAGTTTCAGCTTTCAAAGAAAAACATGGCACCATGTAAGTAGGAGAACTTATACGGTAAATGGTGTCAATTGGGTCCCAGAAGCTTTCGTTCCCAATGCATACCTACTGTGTGTGAGTATATTCCAGGCGGAGGGCAAGAATGGACTCAATCTACACAATTGGGATGAGGAGACACACTTCCTGAGCTTGCACTAGCTCCTCTGGAGGCAGAGAATGGACCACTGGGATGGGCAGAGTCCAGTGTTGACACATATGTGACACATTCCCCACTGAGGCCAGGTGGAGTGAATGGTCAGCCTGGGACAGGCAGCAGAGGCCTTGGGATGCTGGAGCAGACACAGGAATTGTAGTTGAGAGTAACAGGTCACAGAGCGCTCCGTGTCTCTGAGGTCGCACTCAGCCTCCTGTGCTTCTGGTTTGGAGAGAGGGATCACCTGGGACTTGCTAGAGGACCATGTGGGGATGACCTGTCTCCCTGGGTTGGAGTTAATCCCGGGATTCATTCAGAGCTTTACCATTATCTACTTTGGAAGAGAGTTTGGAGGATGATTTGACCCGATTTCTCCCTTCATGTCATGATTGCTATGGGGCCTGGCCATTTAGTTTCTGTTTGGGTGTCTCCATTTAGAGGGAGCTTGCTTTCTTCCTAGGTAGCCTGCTTCATCATCACAGCTGCCTCCTTACCTGGCACTTACCCTGCCACTCCCAAGCCTTCTTCTGTCTTATCCCCTTAAGCGCATGCTCTGTTCTTCAGAATGGACCTGAAACTTCTATTTACCACCACAACTTAGCCTGTTTGAAAGACCCACCAAAACCGCTCTTCTCCCACAGTGCTTTTATGGGATGGCTCCTGGACCTGGTTACGGTTATCTGAATCCTCTCTCGTTGCTCATTTTCTTGTGAAATGGGGATTCGGTCTCCCTTGAAACAGAACAGTTTTTTAGATAGATTGAAACAGCATAGGTCAGATGTAGGCAATGTGGAGCAATGCTTGGAAACCAGAGACCACAGATGCTTTTGGTCAACCCCAGTGCTGGGTGATCACTCCAGAGGCCAGGCAACCTTGGTCAGGTATGACATAGAGTTGTGGTAAGCTGCAGCCTCTCACTATCTGGGGGGTCAAGGTAACCTAGGGTCAGAATGAGTGGACACTGAATTTCATGGACACTGGTGGGAAAACCACTGGGCCCTCAGCTTGGCATAGAAGGGAGAAGCCCGCCCCCTTGTGGCACTCTGTGGAGTGGCAAAGTACTAAAACACGTTGCCCCAAAAGATAGGGGGTCTTGGAGGAAGCAGCTCACAGCTGTCTTTTCACCTCTTGGGGGTGGGGGGCTGTCTTGTAGAAGAAGATGGGAGAATGGAAGAAGACATGAAGAGAAGTTATAAGATGGTGGCTCCTAGGTTTAGTTGTTGGCTACAGAAAGTTAGAAAGATGTCAGACAGGTGTTACTAGCTGTTAAAAAAAAAAAAAAAAGGAATACCAGACCAAAATGAACAAAAGCAGGCATCAGAAAGTTTTTTTCTAGTTCTGTCACTCCTGTGTAGGTGAGCTAAATAAGAAGTCCAGAAGATGTCGTTCTCACAGTGGTCTAGCATGCGTGGCATTGCACCTGTGACTGAAGGCATGGGAAGCAACAAGGGCAGAGGGCGCTGCAGAGGAGAGTTTGCAAAGGGCTCCCATTTGTCCACTGGACAGGTCCACCCACTGCCTGCCCCGTAGAACATAGTGACCTTCCATTATTGGGCCTCTGGAACATCAAAGGGTCCGTTTCCTACAGTCATCTCCTCTCCTTTCCACACATTCAGCCAAATCTACATCATCGCTCCATCCCATGGGTATGGCTGGCCCAGAGGTCCTCGTACCATAAAACAAGTTTGCCTCGGTAGGTGTGAGCCAGGCTTCCTTCCTATCCAATGCCCACAAGAGTCCCATTGCCCTCACACTTGAGTGCTTTTAGCCTGCCTTTACCAGACACTCAGCACATCACCAAACACTGCGCCTGTAATGTATTACTGTAGATCAATCCTCTGCTTCTCCACAACTGATCAGTAAAGTTGAGCTAAAGGCAGCCCTGAGAAAGACAAACGAGAAGCATTTTTCTCAAAGCTCTCCAAATAAAAAATAAGGTGGACTTAAAAATGTCAATTCTATTTTAATTAAAATAGCTCAAATTTCTTACCACACTGCTCGCAGAAATCGCCGAAGATGTTACTGTGGCAGACTGGAAAAATCGTGAGTGTTGAAAGCCTTCTTTAAGTTGACCTTGTATAAATGATCTGAAATAGTGATTGCCCCTAAGTCCCCCTCTCCCCCAAGCTAGTCCTATTAGCTAGTAAGATCCAGGGCAAAGGTTATGGAGATGAGGGGTCATCTTAGCCTGCTGCAGAATACTAAAGCTTGGGCTGAAACTGTGTAAGCCTGTGTCATTTGTAAAACTGCCTGATGAAGTCCTTATAAAGCATTCTAAGTGATTATGTAAACAATCAAGATCTCAGAGGATTCCAACAGAAAACACAATCCAAGATTTACCTAAACACTAAAGGCAGGTAGAATACCCAAGTCTAATTGTTCACAGAACTCCTGCTTGAAAAACACCTATTTAGACTACTCAGTTTCCGTGGCAGCATTGCCAAATTCTAAAATTGTTCGTGAAAATTTTCAAGTCCAAAAACCTACAAGCATTCAGAGGTTCAATAAGCAGACGGTGCCATTTCACAACGGAAAATACGCTTGCATAAGCAAGTCACCAGGGCTAACCTTTCTGGATTGAGAGGCTGGCCCTCAGTTCAGAACATGGCCATGCCAGGGTCAGAAATGTGACAAAACTGCTCTTTAGAGGAGGTTAGCCAAGGTTCACAGGGTCATGACTGGGCCATTTTATCAGTCATGTCAGGCTCATACCCTATTGCCTGGGATAGATAAAAAAAAACTTTATCTGTCAGTTAGAGAAATCTGCTCCTCCTGCCCCATTTTGAAAAGAAAACCTGGGCTCTGCTTATCTAAACCAGAGACCTGCCTCTCCTGGTCCTGTCTTCATATACAACTTCTAAGTCAAAATGACATGCCAATGATATTCCGTCTCATCTTAGTCAAGAACTGTCCATAATTGGAGTGACTGGCTTTGTCTTATCTAAAAATCCTAGCTTCAGAGGACAGCTTCTGGCTCTGTCTGACCACATGAATTTATTATGTTTGTTACATGTTTTTTATGCTGAAGGAGTTATATTAGAATGGAAGATTCCAATGTGTTACCTTTTCAGAATCATCTTTATTCTAAAATGGAGCAAAAAAAAAAAAAACAAGGTTAAATTCCCAGCACCACACACACACACACACACACACACACACATTCCCTTCACCTAAAATCAACTTTGGGTTGGGGATATAGAAAGGTGGTTCAGTGTTGGAGTACTTGCCTAACTTGTATGAGGCCTTGAATTTCAACTCCAGCACTGCCAAAAAAAAAAGGTTTTAAATTAACTTAATTAAACTAACCATGATAACATTTTCAAGTAGGGAATCTAAATTGCCTTAGAACAGTTTGCAAAGATACCTTTGGACTATCTCACACATCATATGTGTTTTCTGATGAAAGAATTTTTAAAAAACCTAAGGTTTCTTCCTTACAGAAAGCAGATATGCACAGATGACAAAAATACCCAGATACGCATTTAGAAATCTTGTTCAAATACACTGACTGCAAACATTAAACTAGTAGGGTTTTCCCAATAGGAATCTTGAATGTAAGAAAAGTACTTTCGAACTGTCCTTTATTGGCAATTACATAAATTCATCATTTTAATATTTAAAGACCATAGTACTGCAATGGAGACACATAAATAGTATAATATACATCAGAAATTAAATACAATAAAGTCAGCATGGCACTATATAAAAACGTATATGTACACTTCACTAAGTCCGAGGTTTGAGCATTCATGCCCATCAGATTTCCCCCTGGAAGTGGGTGAATCTTGCAGGGAGATTGTCCACAGGATACACAGTGGGACTAGTCTTCATCGTAGGAGGGCCATTGAGAAGCTGCCAGTCACAATGCCTGGCCAGCTCCACTGTAAATATTTTGAGAAGAATTTTTGCGAACTCTTTGCCTACACAGCTCCGAAGGCCTCCTCCGAATGGAATGAAGCTGAATCTGGATGCGTCCTCTGGGTAAGGCAGCATAAATCGGTCCGGATTAAATTCTTCTTTGTTTGTGAAGATGTCAGCCACATCGTGCGTGTCACAGATGCTGTAGATAACATTCCAGCCCTTAGGAATTTGGTATCCCTGTAAAAGATTTTGAGGGCCCAAGGATTGGGCCTTTAACTTTAATTTAAATTTAACTTTAAGAAGCCACCACCAATGTGATGGGGGGCAGATTATGAGTTAAAAGAGAAGCGTGACAGGAAAGGAAGGGGCTAATTGGGGTGACTGGAATCTATGTCCCAAGGGAGGGACAAGATCATGTTTGCAAAAGCGTCAAGAATTTAAGCCATAATTTAAGCCATAAAGAATTTAAGACAGGGTAGGACAAAAACCACACAAAAAGGCAGAGGGTTAGTTAGGGTTTATCAGGGGAAGAACTCAACTCACATTTAATTCAAAAGTCTTCAGAGCAACCCGAAACCCTCCTGGAACGGGGGGATTCAGTCTAAGGGTCTCCTTAATAACACATCCAGTGTATTTAAGTTGTTCCAAAATTTCCATGTCCAACTTGTTGTTGCGATTGCTCTTGCAAAGTAAGCCCTAACCAAACAGGCATACAGAGGTGAATGGTTATTTGTGTTCCAATAAAATCAGCCTAGCAGACCTAAACAGGACTTAAGTGGCAAAGAAACCCCAAAAGGCCTCAAGATGGGGGGGGGGGAACAGCAGCAAGGGACCATTTGTCTCCACCCCTCAGCCCAAATACACAGCCTACAATTCTAAGAGAAATTTGCTCACCACCCCTGCCCCATCACTGCCCATCCTAATCAGCTAGCTATCTGTACTGTTCACACTACCCCCGCTCACCCCCCAGCCTTTAAACACCCAAACTCAAGAAATCTCCAGGGCTCAGCAAATCAGCAAGGAGAGTGGAGAAGGGGTGGGAATGTAAGGTCAAACCCTGCTCAGGTGGATCCTAGCTCAAGATTGTCTCCTTTTTATTTCCCACGGGTGATTTTTCTCCCCCCTCCCCCACTGGCCCACCCAGGCCATGAACCAGTCCATGGCTCCAAGGTGAATACTCAAAGATACTTATATAACTCGGGTACATTAGGAAGGTGGTTAAGGAGCAGAATACCCTAAGCTAATAAGGAACCATCTAGAATCTTCCAGAATCCTCCTACCTTACTCTTCAGCTCCTCTCGAACTTTCTGTAGAACGTGTGGGTAGAGCCCCAGGTAAGTGATCAGAGATGTCGCCGCACTGGCCGTGGTTTCATGCCCTCCAAAGAGGAGTTCGGTTGAAGATTGTTTTAGCGCCTAAGAATGGAGTAAGACGGCCGTTTTCAGGTTGAACAGTTTTGCAGGGAGCTTTTTCAGAACCCGATTGAACATTCATTCATAAGGCAAAACTAGAAGGGTGAAACATTTTGCTGATGGGGAGCCAAGGAACTCATCTTTAAAGAAAGCGTGAAACCCTTTGGCTAGGCCCAGAAGAGGAGGGCAGCACCCTGTGCCTCCCACAGGGACCCTGATTTTCTTTTTAAAAAATCGCCCGAGTTTCTTTATTAACATTTTGCGAATGTTCAACGTCCCTTTGAAACCTGGAGAGGCGAGGGTACCCTCTGGTTCAGCCTCTTCCTGACCTGATCGTGGCAGGCCGGGCTGGGTGCCCATGCCAAGAAGTTGGGTCCCAGGCAGCGGCGCCTTTGGGGACCCCAAGAGTTGTGCTTAGAAAGTGAGGGGGACCAAACCTTGCAACACACACACACACACACACACACACGCACGCACGCACACACACACGCAAGCACACACACACACACAGGGCTCACCTGCATGTCCAGCCGCTCTCCCCTCTCCCACGAGTGTTCGATCAGCAGCTGCAGCGCGTCTTTGCAGCCCTCTCCCGGTTCCGCGGCCCGCAGCCGGCGGATCTTGGCGTGGATGTTCTCCTCGATGCGCGCGTGGATGAGGTTCCGCGCCTTCATGCCCTGAGCGCCGAGAGTGCGTGACGGTCAGCAAAGGCCCGGCTCCCCGCCTCCCTGGGATCCACCCGGCGCGCGTCGTTCTTACCCGGTACAGCCCGCTGAAGGGCACGTCGATGGGCAGCGAGAAGAGGTTTCGGGTCATCTCCTCGAAGGCCTCCACGAGCTGCTGCTCGCCCTCCTCCCCGCCGGCCCGCAGGGGCTCGCAGCCCAGCAGGATGCGCGTGGCGATGCGGAACGTGAGGCGCTTCACCTCGGGGTAGACCAGCAGGCCGCGCTCGCCGCAGCTCAGCCACCGCTCCAAGCCACTGCCCACCTCCTCGGCGATCACTGGCACGTAGCACTGGAGCGCCTCGCGGCTGAAAGCCCGCATGATCACCTGCACCCCAAGGGGCACACAGTGAGAACATCCGCCGTGGCGGGTGACCCCCAGCCTCTGCGGATCCCTCCAGCCGCGGGTGGGAAAGGTAAAGGAGGCTTCGGGAGGGTTGCAGTCCGCGCCTCGCGCGGCCGCCACTCGCCAGCACCTCCAATGAATGAGGTCTCCCTCCCTCCCTCCCTAGGCGTGGATCCTCCGCCCTCACCTTCTTTCGCTGCTTGTGCGAGGCGTCGTGCAGGTTGGAGAGACACCCGGAGCCCAGAATGGTGCGCACCGACGCCGGCCAGTGCACCGACACCAGCCGATGTTCTCCCAGCAAGATGCGCCGCACGTTGTCGGCACCCATGACCCGCACCGTGGGCCGTCCGAACAGATGTGTCTTGTAGATGAAGCCGTATTTCCTGCGCTTCATCTGCAGGAACTTCCTCCGCTGGGCAAGGGAGGTGGTGGAGGAGGAGACAGAAGGCGTGAGGGGGGCGCCGGGGGGACCGTCGCGCCTCCCGCTAGTCCCGGCCTCCTAGCCTCAGTCCTAGGCTACAACTCGCCCACCCCCATTCCCTCCTCCGTCCTCCCCCCACCCCACGCCCCGACACACACACACACACACACACACACACACACACGCACACCTCCGGCTTCAGCCAAGACCAGAACCGAGCCGGGCTCCGGGTAAGCGCCCAGTCCCACGCCCTAAGCTTCCTTACCTGCAGTACCATCTGCAAGGTCTCCCCAAAGAACGGAAAGCCCATAGTCCCGGGGGGCAAAGGCAGGGCGCTGCTGCGGTCGCGGCTGCTCACGCAGTACAGGTCCCAGAGCTTGATCGCAGCCAGGAAGAGCAGCAGCGGCAGCAGGAAGGTACAGAGAGCGCTGGCCAGCAGCGCCGGGAGCCCCATGGCACACCGCGGCCTCCCGCGCCACCTGCCGCCGCCGCCAGCGCTCCAGACCCTGCCGCGCGCGCTTGTTTTATAGGCGGTCCAGGTTACTGCCCACGTAGTTACCTTGGTCAAATTAATTCCCCCAAAGTTCATCTTTAATTGAGGATTGGGCCCCTAGCTCCTCCCCCCCGCGAGGCGCTGCCCAAAAATCTTTTAACCGTTTGTTCCACGCCGAGACAGAGGCGTCGCGGTGGCTGCTTCCCTCGGAGCGCGCCTCCTGGGGTGCGGGGCTGGGAGTAACACCTCCCCCCATCCAAGGTGCGCCCACATCCACCCAGCGGGGAGTGGGATTAAGGGGGGGGTGGGCCGGAGCTCGGATGAGTGAGGAGCTGGGCTTCCTGGCGGTGTCTTCGGGATCCCTCCCCTTTCTCCCTCCTCCCCCCCCCCACTCCCGTCCGGCCGCCCCGGCTCAAAGCCGCCTTCCAGGCTTTTCATTCACCGGAGCTGCACGGGCTCCTTTCCACCTGCCGGGGAAGTAAAGGCCTTGGGGGAACCGTCACCCAGCGGAGTCGCCCACAGACACGTAGAACAAACGGGAACCAACACGCCGAGAGGTCGCCCTCTCTTTTGAGGATATCAATCAAGTCGATCCCTGGACCGGAATCTTAGCAAGAGCCACTTGGGCAGGGCGAGTCCCAGTTCCCCTGCCACCTAGCAGGAGCCAGCAGGTAGGAAGGTGTTCAAGTCGGCCTAATGGCCGCACTTCGGCGACCCAGTGGCGGCCTCGTGGAGAACCATTCATCCGCAGCTGGGTAGTCGATGCCTGGCTGTGCGACCTGGCCACACCGATCCAATTCCTGAGGCCTCGGGGCTCATAGTCCCAGCTACGGACCGTGAAGATGCACACCCCAGGCTGCGCAGAGGGAGGAGAGCCGCTGCGTCCTTACCTCCTTCTCTATTTGCCTGATCTTGGGCAAAACCATCGCAAGTCCTTATGCCCGTTTCCTTCCGTTTAGGATGCAGGAGATCATTCCCCACCCTCTACAACTCAGAGCGCTTGTGAGTTAGCAAAGGGAGATTCTGGTTGCAAATACTCTCCCTCAGAACCAGGCACGCTGGGCTGCGTTACTAGCTCGGTCTGGACCGTTTACACTCCCACCGTGCGCGCGCTTTCCCCCTCACGCTGGCCCTGAACCCAGGCTCACTCCTCCCGCTAAGGCGAGCCTGGGAGGACTCCGCATCGGGAATTGGGTCCTCTGGACTCTGTCCAATTCCAACCAGCCGCTCCTGTGGGGCCAGTAGTACCTGCCTCCTGGACAGCCAGATGCGCAGTGCGCTCCGGGCCCCGCCAGGCCGCTTGGGGGACCAGTTAGTCAGGGCCACGTGTGATCTTGGTGCAGGCGCTGGACGCACCAGCAGCGCCGAAAACGAAACAGAGTGACGCGCGTTTGTGACTGGCAGATGCGCGCCCCGCGCTTCGGGAAAATGGAAAACCCTTGGGTCCCGAAGACTGTTAAATACATAGCCCTCCTGTGGTTGTCCCCAAACTTCGAGGGGTCCGAAGTATCTGCTCCAATCGTTAGGACTTGCACAGTCCAAGCCTGGAACGCCACGGGGCGTGTTTCGGGGAAGTGAGCGCGTCTCCGGAGCACTCCGGAGCGCTTCCTTGGTCTGGGAGGCGAATTCTCCTACCATTATTTCTTCTAACTTGGCGGTAACTGTAAAGAATGTGGACCTGCTTTGGGGCGCTGGGAGCCACGAGGGCGAATCTCGCTGGAGGTTAAATTCTCAAAAATCCTGAGCTTTTTTTTTTTTTTTTTGGAGAGCCCCGAGGCCGGTGTGCAAGCCCCGCTGGCAGGGGCGTGACCTGGGGCCCAGTCTCAGTCCTCCGGCTTGACCCGCCTGTGACCCCTGCTCGGCCGGACCGTGACATCTGAGTGAACTCGGCAGGGCCACCCCGCCAAGTTCAGCGCTCCCGATCACGAGATGAACGAGGCCTGGGCACTGGAAATTGCCATGGGGGTCGGAGGGGGCGGTATTATTATCATTTAAATCTACCTGCTAAAGAGACCCACGGGGGTATCCAGAAGAAAAAGATTAAATATAAGAATAAAAGATCACTAAAGGACATCTTGAAGGGGGCAGAAGGATCCATAAATTAACAGCCCGAGCAGAACTTTGATCTAGGAACTTTGCCAAGCTTTCTTGGGGGGGGGCGGGGCTTGATTCAATGGAAAACAAAACATTTACAAAACAGCATTCCAAATTGCCCTAGGGGTAGAGAAGGGAAGGGGCGTGTCTGTTTACTTGTGCAGAGGACAAAGGCTTAGAGGAAACAAAGTCCTAGAACTCGGGTCGCCACCAGGCCCTTTCTCCACGTTCTGTCTTCCAGCCCCCACAGACTCTTCCCAAGCGCTCATTCCGCCTCTAGGGTTCGGTATCTGCAGCTCCCTCAGTTGGTTTGCCCCTCCCTCGGGCCACTGCAGACTGGTTCCTTCCAACATCTTCTGTGTCACCTCCAAGGAGAAGCTCCCCAACCCCTGCCCCAGGCCCTCTGTGTTAAAGACCCGTTTTCTTTTCTCTCCAGACAGATGCTTGCCTTTTTTTTTTTTTTGTTTGCCTCCCTCCAGGAGCCTAAGAAGTCCAGAAGACCCACATCTGGTCCTTCCCCAGAGAATTTAGAGCTACTGGAACAGGAGCTCGCCTAGTCACTAAAATTACTAACAAAGATGTAGGGATGGGAAATTAGAGTAAATGTGGAGGCACCCCTACAGTTTATGGTTACTCCAGACTCCAGAGTAGGTTAACTAAGTCTTATGAAACCAGCTGCTCTGTGGACTTCTGCAAGGCCTCTCCTTTACTTTTCTCCTCAAATCAGAAGGAGCCTTGAAGCAGAGTCTTTTGACCTCCACACCCAGATCTGTGCTGCTCAGACTGGGATGTCCTCATCTGTGCTTTCAAGAGCTTCTTGAGGGGAGACTGCAGCCTGCCACCTTTGCAGTCTCTGGTGTCTGCTAAGCTCAGAGTCTGGCACTGGATCCACAGGTGAGAAATTGCCCTGTTGGGGGGCGGGGGTGTATGAGGTGGGAAGGACCCACTGAGCTCTTCAGCTGCTAACTCTGCTGTCCCCCCTTTTCTTCAGGCCCCAGAATCCACCTTAAACATAAGTTCAGGAGGGCACTGGTCTCCTTCTGGTTCACTACAGGGTCAGCTCAGGCCTGTATGGCGAATTTCCTGGCTCACCAGTCATGCCAAGCTGCCCAGGCCTGTGGGAAGATCGCGGTGGCTGTGGAGAGTGATGGCACTCCTGACATCTTGGCTTTGATTTAAACAGTGGTGGGACCTTTTGGATAGGAAAGGCCAGAAGGTCCTCAAATCAGAATAGGAATGTCTGAAAAGGCCAAAGCCTTCAAAGTGACATCAATTTAGGGGGTGGCATGGTGGAAGGGGGCAAAATGTTGGAGGTTGGGGAAGCAGGGCATGGCCAGCAGTCTGGTAGCCTGTTGCTGGCTCCTCAGGAGACATTAGTCTCTTTGCCCCTCTGCCATAGAGGATATTGACACAGTAATTCCAGAGCTTTCTGCCACCAGTCACTGCAGAGAGAATTCACAGCCCGGAGTCCACCAGCATGCTTAGGCTCGGGGGCCGAGGCTGCCCATTACCAGTTTCTTCTCTGGGTATGCTGGGGTGGATCCTTCAGGTAGGGCCTGGTGAGCACCACCCTCCCTCTGATCTCATTCACCAGGGAGCAGCTGCCCAGCTAAGCCCCAGCCACCTTACTCAAGAGCTGGCAGGAAATTTTATTTCTTGGCCTTCCTGTTTTGACTACAAATATCCCAAACCTCTCTGATTATATCTCAACCTCCCATGAAGAGATTCTGTCTCAACCTCTGATGAACCAGCCTCTCTTTGGTCAAATTCTCCCTGCTTAAAAAAAAAAAAAAAGGACGATTAAGTGCATTCTTGAAGTGGGAATTTAAAAGAAGGTTCCAGCTGAATTCGTTGATGTTGAGTTTCTAACAGGACGGGGAAAAGGTTCTCTGGGCCTTCCGAGCTGCTGCTCGACCTCTCAGCTTGCCCAGTGTCAGATCAGGGTCTCATACTGGCGTCCTGGCTTGCTTGAAAGGTGGGATAGGCGGAATATCCACACTCCCTGTGCACACCACACACACACACACACACACACACACACACACACACCAGGACCCGTGATCCTACCCGATTGCCACGGAAAGGTGAAACCGGGTTACACCCGTGGGGCATCGATCGGTTTTCTCCATCCCAGCTTTGCGATCTTGGAAAGTGGCGAAGAGACTTAAACCTACCACCTTCATTCTGCAAGGTGCAGAGAGCAAGAAACACCTTCTCCCTGGCGAGACTGTCCTCCCGCAAGGTGACTGCGGCGCCCGCTCCTCCTCCCAGTCCCTGGCAGAGCGGCATCCCGTGAAAAGTTTGTGGAACTAGGGAACTAGGTGAACCAGTAAGCACACTGCAAGGCCCCAGGAGTCGGAGTCGCAACGCTGCAGGTCAGAGATGCGGCCCATCCCCCGCGGCCGATGTTGCAAGCGGACGGAAAAACAGTCGTAGTCCGTCCACTGGGTGCACGATGGGCACGGTCTGCATGGCGGGGAAGGAGGGCGTCGCCAGTTCCCAGCGCGCAGTGCGCACCAGCTCCACTGCTAGCAGCTGGAGCACAGCCTGCGCCAACTCCTGGCCCAGGCAGCTGCGCACACCGCCGCCGAACGGGATGTAATGGAAGCGGCCAGGGGAGCCGGGTGCATCTTCACTCCGAGCGCCAAAGCGCTCCGGGTCGAAGCCCTCCGGAGGGCTCCGGTACACTGCGGCCGTCTCGTGGGTGTCTCGGATGCTATACATCACGCTCCAGCCTTTGGGAATCTGGTAGCCCTACGAGGAAGTGAGGGGACCACCCTGACCACAATGCACCTGGAAATGGCCTGAACCCATCCACTCTATCCCAGATGCGCCAAATAGGTTTTGGGAAAACCAATGGGAAGCGGATTCATCAGGAAGCCAACCCCCTTCACTGGTGAGCTATAAGACCTTGGACATATTCTCTCTCTCTCCCTCTCCCTCCCCACCTCTATCTCTTGCTCTCTCCCCTACATTTCTTAATGGGTAGAGCCTGAATAAAATTGCCTGCTTTGTTGGGAGGATTTGGAACAGGTCTGGAGCCTACTGGGAACCAGCAAACGGAACTAGTGTTTATTTCCCCGTGTCTTTATCCGTCCCTTTTCTGGTGATATTAGATCTATATTCCAGCCCCGCATCTGCCAGCTGCCCTGAGGAACAACGCAAATGACAAGGACAGCCCCCCACCTCTGATTAGTAATTCCCGGTCCTTGTCACCCACCCCTGAACAGTATGTTCACATCAGCCATCCTTTAAGAAGACGCGCATACGTAACCCGGAATCCTTAATACACTGTAAGACAACTTTGCAATTCCCTTTCCACCCCCATCAACCTCCATTCTGTGGTTTTTTTCTTCTTCTTTGTTTCCCTGTGCTGGGAATGGAAAACACAGTGAGATCCCCAGCAAGTGCTCTAACATTAAGTCACATCCCTATTCTCCGCCCCTTCCGACTTGTGATATTTTCCATTCTCTGGGCTTCTCTTGCTCTCATCTCCAGGTTTCTGGTTCCCCAAGCCTGTTCCATGTGCCTGGGATGGAATGTCAGAACTGCTGAGAGGTTTTCACTAGAGAGAAAGGACATCTTGGAGTCACCCCAGGAACAGCTCTGTTCTCTCTAATCCCTCATTTTCCCATTGGAAAGTGCCTATGATCACCCCCTCTCTGTCCCCTCTCTATCTTCCCCCTGACCTTCCCTGGTCCTGTGCTCTCCCCAACTTCCCTGAGGCAAGTAAAGAATAAAATATGATTTCCAAGTTTCACACACCTGGGGGGGGGACGGCTCTCTTCCCTCCACTTGAGAGGAAGTTATGGGTCCTAGTGCCCTCCCTCTGCATGGAGCCCCCCATGGGGCAGAATCCACTCTTTGGGGTTGGAGGATTGAACCCAGGGCCTTTCACACTCTAAGCAAACACTACCACTGAGCTGTACCTCTAGACCCAGGGTGCTCACTCCGCCAGGGGCCCACCTAGCCCCTGGGCTTTGTGTTCTCAGGCTGGGGTGATAGGCCTAGGCACTAATTCCCAAATGCTGCCACTTCACCACACAGCCCAGGAATATCACTGGAATATCAGAGCTGGAAAGGAACAAGCCAGCTTCCTTCCAGAGAATAAGTAAACTGAGGACCAGACTGAATGGAGTGCAGCCCAGACCTTAACCTTGCTCAGCCCAGCACAGCCTGAGAACATTGCGATTAAATTCCCAAGCGCTTCTGGGAATGCAGCCTAAGCCTGGGCCCAGGACTGGTATCACTGGTTATTAGATCCAGCGAGGGAGCCAGGGGAGAGGGGCGTCACCTTTGATCCCATCTACACTCCCTGGCTAGTAGGGAGTGCAGCGCAGAGAACAATATGGTTGCTTACTTTTTTTTTTTTAATTCTAACACTCCTGAGTGGACCTGGATCACTGATAGAAGCTGACACACAAAATTCCTAATCTTGCCTAATCTAGCGACAAGCTATTTACCTTTCTTCCTGGAGAGGGTATAGTAGGGTAGAAGTAGGGTTCGTCCCATTTTACAGGTGGGAAAACCGAGACCCCGGGAGAGAGAGGGATCTTGTCTGTTGCTCCTCTCCCCACCCTCCTCTGACCCCGCGGGTGGCGGGGAGGGCGCGCAGCACACTTACGTCTAGCTCGAAGGTGCGCAGTGCGGTTCGGTAACCCCCGGACACCGGCGGCAGGAGGCGCAGCACCTCCTTCACCACGCAGTTCACATAGTGCAGGCGGCCCAGCAGCGCCAGGCTGAGGTCGGGCTCACAGCCACAGTGGGGCCGGAGCCCCGCGGCTCCGGGCGCGCAATAGCACGCGCGCCCCAGCCCCTGCGCCACCAGCTCCTGCTGGATCTTGGTGATGGCTGCCGGATGCTGCAGCAGCAGCAGGATGAGCGACGTACTGGCGCTGGCCGTGGTGAAGAAAGCCGCGAAGAGGAGCTCCACAGCCGACTCCTGTAAGACAGACGGGCCGGAAGACGTTGAATCCCTAGTTTAGTCCCTCCGGGGAGGCATCCAAACTTTCCAGCCTTGAAGTGCTACTACCGCAGCGGCTCTGTGCACTGCTCGGTCTTGACACGGATACAAATCCAAACCTGCCACTTGAGAAAGTCATGCAGCACAGCCCAGTCCATCCATCTGCCTTGAGATCTTTAGTAACTCCCTGGATTCTCACGTGAACGCTGTGCGGCGGCGCAGTGATGGCTCTTGGGTTTTGTTTGTTTTTACAGGGGTGGAACCTGAGGTGCTCACGTTGTGGGTAGTCAAACCCCTGACCAGACTGTCACCACTAGGATTATGGTGGAGCAAAGGCACCCACAGCCAGCAATGTCGTCTTCTTCTGGCTTACTGGATTGGTCCAAGTGTATCACTAAACAATCTGCTTTATCCAAGAAGGGACATCCCCCAGCCTCCGTCTTCAGGCTGCCTCTGCCCTCCTGCATCCACTGTCATGCTGGACAGCACCAGTGTGTGTATTTATAGAGGATTCTGTGATTCTAGGGTGAATGTGTGCCTTCCCCTCTCCTACCTTAAGGCTGGAGGCATTATCCCAACCCAGAATCTGGCACTTGATTAACTACTTGATAGTATCTTGCAATGAATACTGACCTGGTTGGAGGTTAACTCCTGGACCTGCCTTGGATAAAACAGGGAGCTGAGATGGAATCCCCGGGACCCCAACATTCCGCAGCCAATCAGGCCTTCTTCCCAAGCTCTAGCTGCACTTGAAGAGGCCTGGCCTGAAGGGGGTGTTGTCAGTCCCCCCTAGATTAGTCAAGGCTGAGAGACCATTCTCTCTGACACTTCCCTTCACAGCCCCTAGGGCTGTTGTGGCCACCCGTCACGCCAAGATTCAGCCCATTGCTCCTTTTCTTCAGAACTCCTAATGCAATTGGAGGGTCAAAATGGAAATTTTCAGTCCCATTCTAAGAGAAGAAACTAAGGCTGAGCCCCACCCTCCAGGGCCAGGTGGTAGAAAGAAATCATGAGAGTTGTTTTCTGTGAGTGCTTTCCATTTGGAACACCCCCCCCCCACACTACTCCTTTCTGGATTCTAAGTACCAGGCAAGGCTACATTGGAACCCAGGTCTCCTCTTTGTTCTCATCCTGAGGAGTGCCCTTCTTTCACACTCTGAATGTGCAGCAGGGGTGGGGTGCCCTGGGAAGAGGAGAAGCAGCAGCTTCCCGCCACCTACCTGCAGCTCCTGCATAGACAGCTCCCGGCCCAGCTCCCTAGCTCTGTGAATGATCAGGCTGAGGGCATCGCCTGGCTCTGCTGCCTGGTCCTCACGCAGCTTCTCAGTGATGGCTTCCTCCAGGTGCTGATGTAACTGGTCTCTGGCCCTGATGCCCTGATGCCCAGGGAGAGAGGGCATGGGGAATAAGATCAGGGGCCAGGCAGGCTTGACCACCAACCTAGAAAACCTCAGGTCTATGCTGGCTCTGCCTAGATCCTGATGTGAGTCTTTTAGATTGGTCAGGAACGTGCCTACTGCCTGCAAACATCACTGTCTTGATCATTCACCAGTGCACTCCCAGCAAGATAGTGTCATCTGAGTGGGGAGCGGGCAGGGCACTGAGCCCTGTGGCAGAAACAGTCTGTTGTCCTTTCCACTGCCCTGGGTAGTAGGAGCTAGGGCTCAGAAGAAAGAGCAAACAGGAAAGCTCTGCTGGGAACACTATTGATTGCACTACGCATTCCTTTCTGTAAGGGCAGGGGCAAGAGGAATGGATGCCTCTCCAGCATTTAGGGAGCAAGCAATGCAAAAACATCCCTTCTTCCCAGGAGGAACAGAAATGAAACACTTGAGTTTTGTACCCCAAGTACTGGGTCCAAATTCTGTCTTTGCCCATACTCGGCTGTATGACCCTGGTTAAGTCATTCAACCTCACTGAGCCCGTTTCATGAGTGAAATGGGAGTGATAACACTTTACAGGCTGCAAGAATTAAATCAGAAAATGTATCCGAGGGGACAAGCACACAACATGACCCTCTATACATACCTAGTCTTTCTATCCAGGCACCTAAAACCAGAAAACTCACACAATGGGAAACCCCAGGGTGTTGGGAGAGGTAAAGAGGGATGCTGCTCTCAGCCCATTGTCCCCTCTGAAGCCTGAAGAGGTCTTGGATCCGGGTGGGCAGGGGCGGGGGAAATCAACCACCCTCTTCTGCTCAGCACCCTGTTTGGGGCTGTGACTGCGGCTCTGGTGCTTTCCCACTTGTTCTGCATCCATCAAGCATCTTGCAAGGCCTAGACTGGCTATATGCCTGCTGACCCAAACTCAGCAAGCTACGTTGGCTTGAACACGTCTCCCCCAAGAGAGGGTGTGTGGCTGGCCCCAGATACCACCGAATCTGTGCCTCCTGTGCCCATCAACCATCACCCAGGCCGTCTAGGGGTGAGATTCTGGAGACGGCCTGGGTGATGGGGTGCCACCCAGGGCATCCAGACTCTGCCTGGGATGTGCCCTCGCATCACGGAGCCCCAAGAATGGAGCTTAGGGCGGTACCTTGCGCAGGCCGCTGAAGGGCACGTCCAAGGGTAGTGAGAAGAGGTTCTCCACCAGCTGCTCGAAGGTCCGGGCGAGCTCTGCGCACCGCGCCTCGTCCAGCCGCAGACCCAGGAGGATGCGCGCGGCCATGCGGAAGGTGAGCGCCTTGGCTGCCTCGTACACCGCGACGGGTCCGGGCGCGGCGCACCAGGCGCGCACCTCACCCCGCAGCGCCCCCTGCAGGCGCGGCACGTAGCGCTCCAGCGCCGTGCGGCTGAACACGCGCGCCAGGACCTGGAACCAGCACGAGGATCCGAGCTGGGGGCAGGCTGGCCTCCTTGGCGCCGTGATTCCGGAGCAGGCCGGCCAAGACTGCTCTCTTCCTCTTCTAAGCAGCTCCGACCTCAACTTGTTCCCTCTAGTTTTGCTTTGTCCAGGGAAGCTTTGGGGGGAAGCCCCACCCCAAACCCATGCAGGGACCTATGCTTCCTCCACCATGTCTTCACTCAACATTCTCTACAATTACGGAAGATCCTGCCCGGACTTTATTGATCAAAACCAGAGAGGTTAAGAGACTGGCCTAAGGCTATTTGATTGGGCAGCGGGGATCTCTATCGAGTTCTCAGTGTACCCCAACTCCCGGCCCAGGCCCGACCCCTGTCAGGTGCGTTTCTCAGGCTTTCTGCTCACCTGGCGCCGCCGTCGGTGCGGCTCACCGACCGCTCCTAGCAGCGTATGCGAGCCCAGAAGGATGTGGGTGCTCTGCGGCCACTGGCTGCGCACCAGGCGGTGCTCGCCCAGCAGGATGGTGCGCACGTTCTCCGCGCCGCTCACCCTGACCACCGGCCTGCCCAGCAGGTGCGTCTTGAATACTGGCCCATAACGTTCGCGGCGGGAACTGTGGAAGCGAGAGCCCTGCCGGGCAAGGGGAAGACAGGTTTGGAGAACGAGGCCCTCAGGGGCTCTGAAGCCTAGATTGGCTGGTTGTTTTTTTTTTTTTTGTCTGTTTTCCAAAACAAGGTCCCAAATGGGCCTCATTGGTACCCTAGGGAATGCAAGAACTCCTATACCCAGAGTAAGTTGAGGACTTGGAGATTCAGAATGCATGCCCCAGGGCTTGACACGTCCCTGGCTCCTGGCTATGCTGGCTGAACGTAGTGATCTCTTCCTAAAGCCTCTTTCATCTCCAAGTCCTTTGGGAAAAGTTTAAGTTGCTTTGGGGAAACCTTTTGGTGTGGAGAGTAGCTAGGCAAAGGAGCGAGCTGTGAGTAGTATTCCCTTATCTGGGGCGCTGGAAAGGTCTGGTTAGGAACCCCAGGACCATTGGGAGTGATGGAGGTCAAGTGGAAGCCTTGTGGGAAAAGGAGACTTACAATCTGCTCACCTGAACCAACCAGTGCAGCGTCTCCCCGAAGAAAGGCCAGCCCATGGAGCCCTTGGGCAGAGGCAGGGCGGAGGCCGAGTCCCGGCTCAGAGTCCAGCGGAGGGTCCAGAGGTACTGGGCCAAGCTGAGCAGCAGGCCGGTGCACAGGAGAGCCGTGCCCACCGCCCCCAGCACCGACAGGCAGCTCAGTCCCCAGGGAACCATGACCAGACTGGGGGGGGGGGATGATGGAGGGAAGGACACAAGAAACAGGGTTCAGAGAGGGCGCAGAGCTCACCTGTTCCGTCAGCAAAGGGCCCAGGCTTCCCAAGAGTAAGAGCGGGCAAGCTCTCTGCTCGACAGATACATTGTCAGTGGAAGGCTGCAGTGACCCTTTAGGGAACAAGCCTTCCTCGTGGCGGGCTCGCTCAGGACCTTTTCCCTGCCCAAATATCCCCTTCCTTCTCCCAGGACCCCAGACGGCCAAGGGTAGAAGCAGCTAGCCAGGGCAAAGAGAGAAGCAACTCACCGGTGTGGTGGTGTCAACCCGAGCAGCGATCCCCAGGGCTGCAGACCCTGCCCCACCTCCTTCGGGCCTCTCCGCCTGCCCCGGACACGATTATATAGGTATGGGCTCCCTCCCTGCGGACGGATCCGCTTCACACTCGGTGACGCGCTTATGCATATTTAAAGCGCCGGGGACGAGCAACGAGTGGGGTGGGCAGCTCACTGAGGGGGTCGAAGCTGGGCGTGGCAGCTCAGCCCCAAGCCAAGCTCGAAAGCTGTGCACGCTCCCGCTAACTGGGATTTTGCGCCCTGAACTTCCCGACTCCACCAAGGCCCCCCCCCCCGGCTGCTGGCTGGCCCCGGCTCTCGGGGATCCCCACGCCTTAAGTTTCCCTCCTCTTGGCCACTCCAAGATGAAAGGGCTGGCGTTGCTCTGCTCTCCTTTGCTCTTCTCCAGCTCCTGATCTGCCACTGCAGAGTTCCTTCAGGAAACCGTACTTTCGTTCGTTGCTGCCAAAGCTTTGCAAAGACTCCAAAGACAAGCCAAAGCAGCAGACATCTCCCATACCCTTGAGCCACCATTCCGGACTCAAGAACGAAATTCTCCTCCTTTCCCCTCTCCCTTTCTCCCAGTCAGACAGGCTTTGTCCCTTCGGAGGACTCCAAATGCCTCAGCTCTGAGCACCCTCCTTCCCTAACGTGTGACCTGGGCCCAGAGCTGTGTGAGAGGGTGCTGGAAGAAGCTGGGTGGTGGAGTGTGTGGATTCTCAGTAGAGAAGAGACACCCGGGTCTGCTCCAGGCCGTGGGAGGCAGCCCCAGACCCCCTGGGCTGGGAAGGGCAACGAGGGTCAGGCACATTCCTCCGCTTTTAAAGACAGAGCTGAGTGACAGGGGTCCTCTCCGTCCTGATTGTGTCAGATGGGTTACCATATTTTTTTTTGAGAAATAGTGTTTTTTTTAAATGCAACACCTTTTAAGAGATGAGCTAGTCAAGAGAACAAATGTTTTTTGTTTTGATGTCATTCCCATCTAATAATTAGGGTATTAAAAACATCTTTCCTGGAGGAAGAAGTTTTAAATGAGAAGCTCTGATTGCACACAATACAGTTTTCAACAACTTCCTCAACCTTTTAATATTTCATCCTGAAACCAGGAGAAGTAAACATAGTTCTTTACACTTATTTTACAGAATCAGGTACAGTCTTACAGGTATAAATCTGAAAAATGCAAAGTGGGTGTTCAGCATAAATACAACGCAGAGAAATAAGGGTCAGATTTACACAGGCATTTGGATCATGGTGACTCATACATAGGAAAATGTACATTCCAGAATTTAGCTAAATTTTTCTGTTTCCACAGAGAGGATATAGCTTTGTGGTGTGTCCTTTGACTGGACTGTGGTGGCGACTCGCTGCATAGGAGAACATGCCACCTGCCGTAGACAAGCTGCCCCTGAAGTGGTAAGCCTCCTTTAACCTGAACAAAACTCAGCCAGAGTGAGGTGGGTACAAGCAAGACATAGAAATTGTAACTAGTAAACACAACATTACATCTTTAGAAAATCCAAAACATTTTCTTCATATTCTGAAAGGCTAAATTAAACCACCCAAGTAAAACAAATAATTCACATCCTTACTAAGTTTGATGCTAGTAAGCTTTAAATTTTTACATATTTCCTGCTCAGAATCAGCAGAATAAAAACTTTATTTAAATCACACTGAGGCGAAAACAAAAAGCTGTTAAGTCCAAAAATGACAGTGAAATACTCTCACATCAGACATGATTGCATTCCAAAACCGTACACTGAAGCTCATTCAAGTTTAAATAGAAAAAAATACTTATAAGTAGAGGCATAAGTTTTTCCTCTAATATATTTGCAACCAGTTTCATATACAATTTTATTTATATATTACAGCTCTGCCTTTTTTCCTAAAATTGAAAAACTGTCATGTTTTCCATATATAAAATAGCACTTAATTATTTAAAAATCCATACAAATGGTATTTGTTATTTCTTGTTTAAGACCTCCACAGTGGATTTTTCTCTACTGTACTTTTGAATTCTGTATTGTAAGCCGTGCTTGTTAGGAGCTGAGGCTCAGTCATGGATCTGCTTTCCCTGAGTGCCAGCCATGTGAAGTCTATGTATGCTGAGACATGCCGTTCACCAAACTTCTCAGCTGTTTCACCACTGTCTCTATCAGCTTCTGTTTGTCACGATCATTCTTCCTGAACTGAGCAAATATATTGTTCTTTTTGTTAGTATCCTTCATCCTAGAAACACATGTAAACAAAGAAGCTTAGATAGAAATTAAACACTGTGCTGTCACAAGTAAAACACACCACTTGGCATATTCTGATTATTGTACAATGATCCTAGGCCTGACAAATATTCTTCAAAAAACTGGTACTAGGCAGGTTGCCGATGGCTCACACCTATCATCCTAGCGATGCAGGAAGCTAAGACCTGGAGGATCAAGGTTCAAAGTCATCCCAGAAAAGTTGTAGAGTCACTATCTCCAATTAACCATTGTAAGCAAAAAAGCCAAAGCCCTGAGTCCAATCTCTAGTACCAACACACACCCACACAAATAGATACTAATAAAATTGCAGCTATAGAAATGACACAAAATTATCACCTTTGTCTTATACTTTCTCCATTAAGTGTGATGGTTTTGCACATTAGTATGTAACTAAAAAATGTTAGGTTCTAAATATCATACTGTTTTCTTTATTACTCCGTAAGCTATGCTAAAATACCCTATTTGGTCTCCATTAATCACATTTATAGCAAAACCAGGTAAAAGGAGAAAACAGCAACAGAAAATTCAAAGTCATCTTTTTGTCTCAGAGGTGCTTTGTGACATTAAAAATATTATATTTCTCTTAAACAGTTCCTGATGTTCTTTCCAATCAAACACACACAGCTCTTTTGAAATCTGGGGAAATAACAATTTTAATTTACAAGCTGAAAGTCTTAATTGTAATACTTAAAATGAAACATGACTGATTGAAGACAATGTGTACCACAGATGGAGAGGAAAAAGCAACACCTCAGTCTGTGTTTAGCTGGACAAGATGCTCCAGGAAATCTGCTAGGTGTTTTTACAATGTTATTTTTTAAACTCACATTATTCTATTTTCAAAGAGTCCAGGAGATATGGTGGCAAATACGCCAAACCCTGACCATATTTTACAAGATATGTTTTCTCTTATTTTTTGAAGTATCTCTGTATCTATCTCCAGTTAACTTTTCCTTTTTGCATTTTCTTCAAAACTCCCAGGGCCTGGCACTGCATAGTCAAGCACTCTACCACTGAAGTACATCCATAACCCTCCAGTGAACATATCAGGAAGGCCAATTACGCTTGCAAAATTCAGGCTACAATACCAACCAACCAACAAACAAAAACATACCATCATCCACAAGTCCCTTTTGGTTATTAAAATGGAATTTGCTTTTGAAGTCCATCTAAATCTTTCTCTTTGTAGAAATTTCTAATTCTTCATCTTGTGGCTAAATCAAAACTTGCCAAAATGTTATTTTAAAAAGTTTTCAGAATATACTTACTTCTCCAAAAGAATAAGGGCTGTGTTTGGATTCACACGAAGGTACTTAGAAGCTGGCTGCCCATAATCAGCTAGGTAAGTAGACCAATCCCAGACCATAAACAAGTCCAGGAGCTGAGGAAGATGAGAAAAATGTTGCATAAACTTTGATCACTCATAGATAAATGAAGTACTGCTGTTCTTGGGCCATTTTAATATGACTTGTTTCTTAAGATGAACCAGAATAAGGAAATCCACTTTCAACACTTCACTAGCTGTACTTTATAACCCAAATGTATGTTTCACTATGAAATTACTAAGATTGCCAGAGCTGCTTTTCTAATAACTTTATGGCATTTTCATATGATAAATGTATAAAAATGTATAATGAACATGCTTTATATATTATGCTAATTACATGAACACTTGTACCAATCTTTGAGATTTTATCTTTATTAACTGCTCAGTCAGTACTCAAATGTATTAATAAGGGCTCATACTACTGTATAAAGAACTGTAAACCTTTTTTCTTAGAGGTATGTGTCTCTTTCAAAGAGGCTGTTTGTACCCAGATTTTCCTAATGTAATTTAACTCCAAAACTCAGATAATCTCAATTAAGGGCATTAAACAACCTCTGTTAGATTCTCCCTGGTGATAGATCCTCACACTACTGTTCAGAAAGGAGGGCTTCAGAATTCAGCCTGTTAACTCTAAGCAATCATTTTGTATAAACAACAACCAAAAAGAAGCCCTCTTGTTTTCAGTACAGTCTTAAAATTGACTAAACTCCAGGGAGAATCATTGTCAATATAGAAGTAATCTTTTAAAAGCAATAGCACGACGAACCAAAGCACCAAACTCCTTCTCCAACTTTAAAACCCTAATCCCCTTTAAGCCATTTAAAACCAACTTCCTATCCCCATCTGAATTGTTTCAGAAAGCTAAATGCTTTACTTACTACTTCCTTTAGTTTTTTTTTTAAACTACTTTATAAGCAAGGGGTCTACTTTTTTTGTGTGTGATCAAATGAAGGAAGCATTTGCATTTACTTAGAGGATACATAAGCCAACCAACTGACATTGAGAAATAAAGCATGTAGGAGGATTAAAGCCACCTAAAGAAATGTTAGAGCCAGGCGCACCGGTGGCTCATGCCTGTAATCCTAGCTACTCAGGAGGCTGAGATCTGAGGATCACAGTTCAAAGCCAGCCTGGGCAGTAAAGTCTGTGAGATTCTTATCTCCAATAAAGCACTAGAAAACCAGAAGTGGCGCTGTGGCTCAAGTAGTAGAGCGCTCGCCTTGAGCCGAAGAGCAAAAGGACAGCGCCAAAGCCCAGAGTTCAAGCCCCACGACTAACAAAAAAAAAAAACAAAAAAAAAAGAAAAGAAAGAAATGTTAGAAGAGACACCCCGCTTTCCCTGAAGAAGGTAGGGGACTTTTTGACTCTCTTTCATATCCAATTCACAACTATTAATAGACTGCTGCAAAGGAGGAAAGTGCCATAATGAAACAGTAACTATGAACAACTGTACTATTCAGATAAGATGACATTCTAGGCCATACCAAAAGTTGAAACACTAGCACACACTAGGCACTGTAAAGGATCTGCCTGAAAACGCAAAGGAAATTTACTGTAATTCTTTTTGTTTATCAACAAGTACATTTTCCTCTCCTTTCAAAAGGAGAGGGTTACCTTCACACACTCAGAGAATTTCATTGATGTAACTTCTCTGGACAATGACTCTGCAGTATGTTTAAGAACCTTATAAAATGGCTATTCATTTTGGCTCAGTAACATTTATAGAAAGAGAGTTCAGAAAACAATAATAAAGATAGGCAAAAACTTATGCACAAAGAAAGTAATTTCAAACATGTTATTTGGTTGCCAAGGATTGAAAGCAGCCTAAATCTCAATATTAAAGAGGCAGGTTAAAATAGTGAAGTATACCTGCTTGATGAATATCCACTACTTACTAACATCAATGTTTGTGAAGAATTTTTAAATTACTTGGGAAGATGAGTATGATAAATGTTGTTACTTAATTACAGAAAAACCCATCGAAAAAGACTGGAAGAAAATACAAAAAGAATGGTAGCTATTTGTAGGGTAGGATTATGAGTAACTTATTGTCTCTGTTCTCATAAAGCTCTCCAATAGACATGTGGTTAACACTACAGTTAAAACATCACTGATATGTCTGTATGTCAAAATAAATTTCAGTAATAAACAGCCCTCTGACAGTGGTCAGTAAAAATGAATCCTCATTTTGAAGGATTCCTTTTTCAGTAAATGTGCACAAAGTCAGCAGAAAGTCACCGCTTAATATACTGGCTTTCTTTCCAAATGGCAATAACAATGCGACCTTAGGGAGATGAAGAGGAAGAAGTATGGCTCCTTTTTTTCTTAGGCTCTCCTATCCCCAGGTGGGAAAGGAGTCTATGTAATGAATTAAAACCACACACCAGGGCTAGGAAGGTGGCTCAGTGGCAGAGTGCTTTCCTAGCATGCATGAGGCCCTGGGTTCCGTTCTTCAGCATCACATAAGCAGAAAAGGTTTGGCTCAAATGGTAAAGTGCTAGCCTTGAGCTGAAGAGCTGAGGGTCAGTGCCCATACCAAGAGTTCAGGCCCCACAACTAACAACAAAAAAAAAGAAACAAACAAAAAAACTCACACACCAACTCCAACTGTAAATAAAGAATTGGTTCCTCTACATGCATGCATACATGGGCATATACACACAACCCAGACATTCCTAAACAATTTTCACATATGATCAAACGCCATATGCAAATTTCTCATAGGCTTAGTAATCACAAAATTTGACCTACCTGACCACAGAGACAAATCTAATCTACATGCTTTCACATTTACATTAATAATGTATGAAAATATACATCATGCATAGTTGTTCTGTAGCTGGGGATCTGCACATTAAAGACAAAGGAATACTGTGTCAATGTGGAGAAAAGGGCCAAGGATCAAGATAAAGTTCAGTGGTTCTTCAGTCGTTCTTTAGACTGCCCATCTACAGTGTGCTGGATGCTCTGCTGGGCACCAGAGATACAATATTGAGAGCACATAGCTTTCAATAAGTATGTCATCATATGGTTACGTATTCTAAAAGCAAGTAATATTTTGATAATATGAAGAGCTAATTTAAAAAAAAAAACTATTCACTCAAAATTTATCATTTAGTGTAGAATAAGGCAGAAACACTGATTGATTGCTCATTACTCGAAGCCTTTGAGGCTTCATGTTCCCACCTATGTATAAGGATTTTTCCAATTCCATTAGAATAAGGAGGAAAAACTTCAGAAAGCTGTTAGGAAAACTCAAAATGTGTTCAGCATAGTAAGGCCACTAAGTAGATATTGAAGAAATATCTGATGATACCAGATCACTATTCCAGGTTTAGAGAAGCTTTGTTCTAAACTTCATGCTTACAAAAAATTAGCACAGGGCTGGGAAGGTGGCTCAGTGGTAGAGCGCTTGCCTTGCATGCCTGAGACCCTGGGTTTGATTCCTCAGTACCACATAAGCAAAAAGAAAAAAGCCGGAAGTGGCGCTGTCACTCAAGTGGTAGAGCATTAGCCTTGAGCTGAAGAGCTGAGGGACAGCGCAGCGCCCAGGCCCAGAGTTCAGGCCCCATAATCGGACCCCCCCCCAAAAAAAATTAGCACACTGCAGACTACTTTGGCTTATGCTGATAGTTCACTGAAAAATGCCAATGATGGCTTGCAAGCAAACTGTAGCAACCAAATACAATAATCTCTCCCAGGCTTATCCTGAGGGATTGATAGAGACCCAAGATTCTCTCATGGTATTATATAGTACTAGGTCTCATAACTGAGTAAAATGAGTTTCTACAGAAAACACTATTATTTCTGAATGGTTTACCAATACCCTTCAGTTATAACAATTACCAGGTCCTTTTTTTTTTTTGGTGCTGATCCTGGGGCTTATATTCAGGGACTGGGTGCTGTCCCTAAACTTTTTTTGCCTAAGATTAGTACTCTACTATTTGAGTCACAGCACCATGAGTCTCACAGATTTTCCTGCTTAAGATGGCTCAGATTCTCAGTCTTCTGAGTAGTTAGGATTATAGGCATGAGCCATGGGCACCTGGTAACATCTTCATTTTTAAAACTAATGGACTGCTGGGTGTCAGTGGCTCAGGCCTTTAATCCTAGCTATCCAGGAGGCTGAGGCTGAGATCTGCAGACTGAGGTTTAGGCAGGAACCTCTGGATACAGCCCAGGCAGGAAAGTCTGTGAGACTCTTTCCTCCATTTACCTACCAAAAAGCTTGAAATTAAGCTGTGTGGCTCAAAGTGCTATAGTACTAGCTTTGAGCACAAAAGCTCAAGGACAGTGCCCAGGTCCTGAGTTCATGCTCCAAACCAGCATTAAAAAAAAAAAAGGAACCCCCTCTGTACGGTATTTTCACAATAAAAATTTTTTTAAAAAGGAACAAAAAACATTAGAACCTCAATTGTATAAAACCTCATTTCCCTATTTCAAGTTCTACTTTCTTCAGATAGCACTATACAAATAATACATCTTATTAATCACACAAAATCTCTTCTAGTCTTGAAAATTAACAGTAAAACATGGTCTTACCAGGGGAATTTATTAGTTAAGATATATACCTGAAGTTCAAAGATGTGGATCAAACGTGAACACAAACAAAATTCTCCACAGATTATCCAAAAGCAATTTTACAGATACTTATTAAAGGATTAAGTTGAGCATAAGATAAAGAAAATTGGTATTAAGTTTTATAAATAGCTTATTTCCAATAGTCAAATAAAATAATTCCACTCTAAATCTATTTGGGAAGTAAGCAAAGTATGGATCGTATGAAAATGAATAGCAAAATAACATGCATCAGTTTTATCTCATTATGATTTATAAGATTATCTGAAATTTGTATCCTGTTTTTTTTCCCACTAAGGATTTAAAACTACCTTTCACAACTAATCTGAACACATCAGTGGATTTATGTCTATCTTTGTAAATGAGCTACAAGTTTCATTTCCTCAGTGTGCTCTGTGTGTTCAGCACACAAAAAGACCAGCTTAAGGAAAGAAATGATTGCATGGGTGGTCCATTTATGTGCTCAAAATAGCTGA